GTAACCTAAAAAAATTTCCTGTGCCTCAACTATGAGCAGCTTATCACAGTGGCACGACATTCAAGCCTAAGTATTTACACTAAGAGCAGATCTTACCTGTCTTCCAATACATATCCAAAAATGCTTTTGGCTCTAGCTGAACATAATAATGAGGGGCTATTCTATCTAACAACAGTAAAAATTACTGGGGCCTTGAATAGAGAGCTGGAGCCTTGAAGAACCAACAACATTTTGATGGGTAGAAACTTTCAGAAGGACAATCAACATAAAAAGAGGCCATGAACAAAGAGAGAACCACAAGGCATGTCTCAGAAATCCAGCACAGCAAAAGTCTAGGTTCCTAAAGGGAGAGAAGGCAAAAGATGAACCTGGAAGATCACACTTGGTTCAAACCATGAAAAGACTTTTAATACCAAAATTCACAAATTTTAAGCTTTACTCTCCAGGTAACAGGCAAAAGAGTTTAAGCAGAAGGGTGACTATTAAAAACTGTGTAGCAAACACAGAACTTCCACAGATAAGAAATTACAAGTTCCGTATAACATTTCCTTATGTCCTTATGTTATGTTATTTATAACTCTGAACTACCGAAATATGAAGCTAGGATGTCAACACTCTGGCTATCAGTACTCAACATTTCCTTTTTCAAGACAAATTAAAAATCCACATTTCCTTGCTTAGGATAAACTTTCTAGAAAGGCTTTGTCTTTTTGTCCCATTTCACCTAAAACAACCAGCACAAACCAGAGGAAAAAGTAGAGTCTTCTCTAAAGTCTGCTCGGTCTGAAAGCTAAATCTGGCACAGAGGGTACACACCACTTTGTTGCTATACATGACTGGTGCTATTCCCTGCTCCATGAGGCTACTTTTGATTCGTTGTACACACAACTAAAGGAGGAATGAATGAGAAGAATTTTTCAGTGCCCCAGGGTACTTACTCATAAAACTTTACTCCTTTCCTCCCATCTTCCTCTGAAAAACTTTTTGATTACTGTAATTATAAGCTTTATTCCATTAACAGAGCCAGAAAGCTTTCCAGTGGTTTTATTTATAACAGACTATAACTCTGTCCCCAGTTCTAGCCTAAAGCTTTCTCATTCTTTTAAATTATTACAGGATTTCTCCAGCTGCACTAACTCCCAGAAGCCTACAAGTCCTCACAATTACTAAAGCAGCAAGCAGCAGATTATAGGTACTACTGTACCTACAGATAACCCCCATCTATACCACTGCTTATGCCTACTCCCATGCCAACTTACAAGTAGGAGAACGATAAGGAATTGTTAGGGATATAATCAACAGCTTGCTGCACCTGAAGCCTATGTCCAGGGACTGCCCACTTTTAAAATTCAGGTAAAAAGATAAGAACCAGAAAAGAGGAAAACACCAACAACTTTTCTCCATGGAATTCACAAAGGGTTGCTTCCCTTATCCTCTCACGTTTTAAATTATGAAATCCTTTACAATTAGATTGTGTGCTATATGAGGTCTGGGGCCAAGGCTTAGCAATGTGGGTCTTTTACATGGAAGGCACAGAATAAGTTGGTTTTTTCTTAAATAAGTATTTTTCTTGAATACGTATTTCTCGCATTGAAGTTTCTACTCATCCGTTTTACCACTTTTGTTTCCATCCTGCTCTAAAAGAAAGTTCCTACTGTTACATTAGTGATCAGCCTTCTTTGTTTTCTTACTTTTAAGACAGTTACTCTTTAACATCTCTGAGAATCAAATCATGACTGGAAAGTTGGACTTTTCACTACTGTGGGTAACAACGGAAGAATTCCTGAAGTTTGGAAAAAGCAAGTTATTTTCAAGAAAAATGTTTGTGGCCATTTAGAGTGTAAGCCACAAATCAAACATCCTGTATGCTTCAGTAACATGACTAAGAAGCTTTACATAACACCAGTGAATTATTAGCAAATTCTTACAGAAACTTTTCATAAACATTGAAAGCAACCAGTCTGTGAAAGCACTATGATCAAATACTAACAGAACCATTTCTTCCTATACTATGGTTTCTAACACCAAACAACATGTTGACATCTTTCAACAATATCCAAGATAATCTACCACTTAATTGCTAAATTCTTGGCCTAAAAATCATCAAAAGGGTACTGTTAGGCTAAGGCAAAGGAAGTATGGTAATAAATCTCTTTCCTGACAAATGTTACAGATTTTTTAAGTACTTGAGAGAACAGCAGCATTTAAAACATTAAAATCCAAAGCTAAAATTTATTTAGATAATAATAATGGGGGGGGGGGTGGCTCAGAGTTTTTGTTTACAACTTATTTATTAAGGCAGCTTAGCAACATTTCTCCCAAAACATCTCCAGGAGGCAAATATTGGTCATAATCCTTCTCTCCCAAAAAGCAAAAAGGGTTGGTCCTTGGTCTCCAGGGGATAAAACAGAACCATTTGAGGGAAAACAAAACACGTCTGGATTACAAGGAAATATTTTCCTAAGAGAATGCAACAATTTTTTCCCCTCGCACTTCCTTTTAGAACTAACATTCTTTACAAGTACAGGGGTACTAGGCAGCAGAGTCAGTGGGGGAGAAAATGAATCACAGAAATTAGTCAAAATCTTACTATTTAGTTATCTAATAATCCAGACCTGAGGCTGGAGGTAAATCTGAGCATGCAGAACGATCTGCCAAAGCCCAACCAACTTTCACTGTCGCCATACAGAGAACCACTGAAAGGAACAAAGGCAAGCATTAAGCAAAGCACTCTCCCAGAGGTATGAAAAAGCAGGTACCTAATCTCCAAGCGTACACACACCTCTCAGTACAAGCAAAGAACTTTGAACACTAAAAATGCTTATATTAATTTACTATATTTATTTCAAAAAATTAAAGTATTATGTTGATTTGTAAAACAAGAACATTTATGACTTTTCCTGCTTTTTAAAAAATGGAGTAGTACACACTAATTGTAAAAACTAAAATTAAATACAGAAATACATAACATGGAAAGTAACAGTCCCCTGCAACTCATCCCCCAGAGACAATTATTAAAAGTTTAAACTCCAGGATCTTACAGTGTTCTATAATTACAAAATCTCAAGGTTGAGGATCCACAAAGGTAGTATGTATGATGGAGCACCTTCTTCTCTCCCAACTAGAGATACTAAAATATTTTACAGTGTCCCCGGCCAGTATTCAGTCAGCCTCTGCTTGAACAAATCTTTTGACAAGGACCTGACTACGGCCCAAAGCATCTCATACTGGCTTTTATTCTAATACTGAGGGACAACCACCTTTCTGTCAGATCATTCTGGCTTCTCCCTTGAATACATCTCTGTTGTTAAAAGTGCATTCATGTCAATGTATGACAAAAACCACGACAATAAAAAATAATAATAAAATAAAATAAAAGTGCATCCATAAAATAAGGTACCCAGAAATGAACACAATACTCTGGAACAATCATACTCCTTATTCTGGACTTTGCTTCTATTAACAGAGCTCAAATCACACTATGGACTCACACTGAACATTCTGTTAAATGAAACCCTCTCAGGTATTTTTCATGTTATCTGCTGTTAAACCACATCACATCTAGCTAAAATAACACTTATTTTTTGAATCATATGTGAATTTCACACTTACTGATGTTTAATGCATCTTGATCATTTAGTCTATCCTTTCAGTCTAATTATTTTCAATCTCTGTTTTGAAAAACAACACATTTTCTATACAACTTATTGCCAGCTATATGGATTTGAAAGCAAGTCATCAATTGTTCATCCATGTTATTAATAAAAATGCTGAAGACTAAAATACTATTCAGCTATAAAAAAGGACTAAAATCCCAATTCATGCTACAACATGGATGGACCCTGAGAACATTATGCTTAATGAAATAAGCCAGACACAGAAAGAAAACCATTGTATGTTACACTTATATGAGGTACCTAGAATGGGCAAATTCATACAGACAGAAAGAAAAGTAGAGTTTACTAGGGGCCTAGGGGAAGGGAAAATTATCATTTAATTGGTAGAGTATTTGGAGGAATGATGAAAAAGTTTTAGGTATAGTGATAATGTATTTAATGCTTCTGAATTGTACACTTAGTGATTAAAATAAACACTATATTATATATATTTTACCAGATAAAGAAAAAAAGGAATGAACCACTGATAAGCACTGAGTGGGGGAAAAAAAGCCCATTTCAAAAGGTTACATACTGCATGAGTTCACTTATATAACATTCCTGAAATGACCAACCTAGAGAAAAGGATTACAGAATAGTTGTTGCCAGGTGTTAGGGAATAGGGAGAGAAAGATGGGTAGCATTTTAAAAGGAGAGAAAGGATCCTTATGGTGATGGAATTGTTTTGTATCTTGACTGTAATGGTGGATACAGAAGCCTACATATGTAATAAAATTCCATAGAACTAATGAACGCACACACAGATGAATAAAACTAAAATAGAAAATCTAATAAAATCTTAGGACTGTATTGATACTACCATTCTGGCTGGGACACAGTACTACAGTTTTTGAAAAATGTTATCATTAGGGGGAACTGGCTAAACAGCAAGCTGGCTTTCACTGCAATATTTCTTACAATTGCATGTGAACCTATAATTACCTCAAAATTAAAAGTTTAATTTGAAAAAATAAGTAAATTTTAAAATGCTGACTGAACAGAAGATGACTGCAAGGCAGAGTGTCTGCCTCTGCAACCATGTTCCCGCTGTCTGCTGTTATCATGGTCAGTACCACTAGACCATCCCACCAATAGAGATAAGCATTTATAATTTTTTAAAGTCATTTTTTAATCATCTATTCTAGAATCCTGCCTGTGTCACTAATTTCTCTTTGGTCTGAAAATCTACTTTCTTCTCTTTTTCAGAAGACCCATCTTCAATTTTCCAGTATTTCTCTCATTTTCTAAGATTTCTGAAAGACCACAGATAATTTCATGTGTAAGTTCTGACTACCATGTAGCTATTTTTCCCCTCACCCCGGGATAACGCTATGCTCTCCTTACATGATCTTCACTATTCCCAGATGGGCTCTCCTTTATTCGTGTCATTTTCATCCTTCAAGTCAAAAGAGGTTCTTTATCTGAAATGTAAGTAAGAGATAAGAAACTGTGTTTTCACTGTCATTTGTTTAACATTATTAAATATAAATAGCAATTTTATTCTTACTTTTTCCTATTATTCCACAGTTTAAAAAATGTTTTTGTTGTTTTCATTTCTTTAGAAGTATCCTCTTATTTGAGCTCATTCTGTAATACTCTAAAGTCACTCTTGATTGTATATGCTCCCCACTGGTCTTTTGTAAAGGTTTGTTTTAAACTGAGTCAAGCAAGAAATTTTTATCTTGTAGTATGCATGAATCTTTAAAGAATCCTCTTCTAATCCTCTTAAAATTTCCAACTAGCATTGCTACTACTTACTTTTGAGAGATTTTTCTTTCCTTCTACCATATTCCCATTTTTAAGCCTCTGTTCACAGATTCCTATTTTTGAGTTTTGTAAATGTAACTTTCAAAATAATCTTCCAAGTTTTCTTCAACAAGCATATTTTACCATTATATTAAAAAGTTAATTTTTTAAATTAATTAATTTTAATTGGAGGTTAATTACTTTATAATATTGTGGTCGTTTTTGCCATAAATTGACATGAATCAGCCACAGGTGTACATGTGTCCCCCATTCCGAACCCCCTGCCACCTCCCTCCCGATCCCATCCCTCTGGGTTGTCCCAGTGCACCAGCTCTGAGTGCCCTGTTTCATGCATTGAACTTGGATTGGTCATCTATTTCACATATGGTAATAATATACATGTTTCAATACTATTCTCTCAAATCCCACCCTCGCCTTCTCCCATAGAGTCCAAAAGTCTGTTCTTTTATATCTGTGTCTCTTTTGCTGTCTTGCATATAGGGTCATCATTACCATCTTTCTAAATTCCATATATATGTGTTATGATACTGTATTGGTGTTTTTCTTTCTGACTTCACTCTGAATAATAGGCTCCAGTTTCATCCACCTCATTAGAACTGACTCAAATGCGTTCTTTTTAATAGCTGAGTAATATTCCACTGTGTATATGTACCACAGCTTTCTTATCCATTCGTCTGCTAATGGACATCTAGGTTGCTTCCATGTCCTAACTGTTGTAAACAGTGCTGCAATGAACACTGGGGTACACGTTTCTCTTTCAATTCTGGTTTCCTCAGTGTATATGCCCAGCAGTGGGATTGCTGGGTCATATGGCAGTTCTATTTCCAGTTTTTTAAGGAATCGCCACACTGTTCTCCATAGTGGCTGTACTAGTTTGCATTCCCACCAACAGTGTGAGGGGGTTCCCTTTTCTCCACACCCTCTCCAGCATTTATTGTTTGTAGACTTTTTGATGGCAGCCATTCTGACTGGCATGAAATGGTACCTCATTGTGATTTTGATTTGCATTTCTCTGATAATGAGTGATGGTGAGCATCTAAAAAGTTAATTTTTAAAAAATAAAAGTACATCCAGATTTGCTTTGTCTACCTTCTGTGAAATTAAATAATCAGAAAGTCTTGTCAAGATTTTGTTAAATAAGGCTAAGACTATCTAAATCGAAACATAAAATATAGCAGGTACCATCAATTGAGCACTAGCTTATATACTGGTACATTTGTTGCCTCACTTTATCTTACAACAACCTTACCAGGTAGACTTTATCCATCACATTTTACAGATGAGAAGACCAGTGTTTAGAGAGATTAATGTGGCTTGTCCAAAGTCAACCAAGGAGAAAATGGTAGATTTCTGAAACCTAGTCTGGCACCAAAGTCTGTGTACGCTCTCTCCACCTTTCTCTAAAGCAGTCCTTACAAATATTCTATTTGTTTATTTTTTCTCTTTTAATATTAATCAGGCATAAGAGCTCTTACTGAAAGATTACACTCATTAAACTCAGTAAATGCAGAGGAAAAAAAATCAAAAGGGCCGTTTTGTTCTCATGGATGCTCTCTCCTGTTAATCAAGCTAAGAATATACTTAATAAGCCTCCATTTGCCACTACAAAAGATGACACATATGATAGCTATGTAAATCATGTTAACGGTCCAGTTAAACCAGTTATGAATTCTTTGAATACCCAAATTCCTTTTGGGGGAGAGTTAAAAAACTAAATATAAAATCTTAACATTACATACAAAACCTTGCAATACCAGGTACAAGTTATTCTTGATGAGTGAATGTGCTGAAGGAGTATGCCAGAAACCCAACAGCATTTGTTTGACACATGTAGCAGCAGTCATGACTTCCTTGCTCAATGAGATTCCCAAAGGAATTAACTGGATTTAATTCAGTTCACCAGATCCTATCACATTTGATCAAAACTAATAGTGCTTTTTATAAATTCTTCCATTCATCTATCTGTACATCAACAATCTCCCTTTTACTTTTTAAAAAACATGACTTACTCTTTTTATGACCAACACTTTAAAAAACTGAAAGATACTGAAAAGGACACATGACTGCCTTCTTTGAAAAAAGATTCTCTGAGTTGTCAATTTGAAAAATGAATGGATGATAGATTCATAATGAAGTAAAGTTTTAAAAATGCATCCCTACTCTTAAAACTCAACAAAAGAAAGACAAATAACCCAATGTAAAACTGTGCTAAGGACTGAATAGGCATTTCTCCAAAGAAGATATATAAATGGTTAAGCACATGAAAGTATATTCACCATTAGTTATTAGGGAAATGCGGACCAAACCACAAAGAGATACCATTTCACACCCACTAGCACAGTTAAAATAAAAAAGACAGTAACGAGTGTCAGTAAAGATACAGAGAAACTAGAGCATTCATAAACTGCTGATGGGATTGTATAAATGGTGTAGCCTCTTCAGAAAACAGTTTGGCAGTTTCTCAAAAAGTTAAACATAAAATTATCCTATGACCCTGCAATTTTACCACTAGATATACACTGAAGGGAAATGAAAACACACATACACGAAAAAACCTGTATGAGAGTGGTCATAGCAGCATTACTCATACTAGTAAAATACGGAAACAACCCAAACACCATTCAACTAATGAATGGATAGACATGTATTTATATATAAATTTACCCACACAATGAAACACTATGGATTATAATATGCAATAAAAAGTACTAAAGTATGCTTTAACATGGATGAATTTTTAAAACATTGTGTTGGTAGTTCAGTGGTAAGGAATTCACCTGCCAACGCAGGAGACATGGGTTTGATCCCGAGCCTGGGAAGACCCCACATGCCCTGGCGTAAGCAAGCCCGTGAGCCACAAGTACTGAGCCTGTGCTCCAGAGCCTGGAGCTGCAACTACTGAGCCCACGTGCCACAACTACCGAAGCTGGAGTGCCCCAGAGACCGTGCCCAACAGGAGAAGCCGCCACAAACAGAAGCCCTCCAACTGCAACTAGAGTGGGCCCTGCTTGCTGTAACTAGAGAAAACCCTGCAGCACAATGAAGACTCAGCATAGCCAACAATTAACTAATTTTTTAAAAAACAGTGTTAAGTGAAAGAAATCAGTTACAAAAGTTCATGCATTGTATGACTTCATCTAAGGGAACTGTTCAAATTAGGAAAATCCATAGAAATAATAAAGTAAATTACTGATTACCAGGGGATGGATATAGAAGGGAATGGTGAGTGACTGCAAATGAGTACAGGATTTCTTTCTGTGGTGATGAACACGTTCTGGATTGGATAGTGCAGAACTCTGAATATGCTTAAAACCATGGAGCTGTATACTTTAAAAGGGTGAATGCTATAGTATGTAAATTATATCTCAATAAAGCTGTTTTTTTAAAAACAGATTCCTATCACTTGACACTGAAGTTGAAGACAGCCATGGCCTTCCAACATCCATTCCATTGGTGCTCACTGACAAGATTACCTAGAATACCTAGTATAAAAGACTTCAAGTCTGAATGAGGTAGCAATTTTTATTTTCTCACAGGTTTGTTCTCTGCAAATCTTTAATTATTAACATTTTGGGCCATTTAAAAATGATTTTTTTTTTTCCCTTTGAAAAACTCTGAGGAAAAATAAGTATAACCAAACATACCAGTAAGAGAAAATCAGAGCTGTTTTTTGAGCTCAGAAAAAAACGTCTTTAGACATTGCCAAGTATCATCCCTGGTTGAAAACCACTGTTTTAACTATACCTTTTTCACCTTTTTTTAAAAAATGCATTCTTCTAACGGTCATTTCTAAAAATATCTGCTGGTCATATCCTGTAGGTGCTTTCCAGAGAATGCATATGTTTCTGAGTACGACCTCCTTATCTTAAACATGCAGAAGGTTTTAACACAGTTTCAATATGAGCTGATAGAATCTCTTTTCCTTGTATGTTTATCCCTTGGATTTCTCTAGTACTACTTTTGTGAGCTCACACAAGATAATGCATGTGGAAGTGCATTGTGGGCAATGATAACTGAGGTAATGGCTGATGCCTCAATCGGGGGCTTCCCAGGCAGCTCACTGGTAAAGAATCCACCTGCCAATGCAAGAGACGCGGGTTCCATCCCTGAGTTGGGAAGATCCCCTGGAGAAGGAAATGGCAACCCACTGTAGTATTCTTGCCTCGGAAATCCCATGGACACAAGAGTCTGGCAGACTACAGTCCATGGGGTCACAAAGAGTCAAACACAACCAAGCTACTGAGCATGCACACATGCTAAATAGTAAATATTTCACCTTTTCCCCATTGTGCAGTAGTAGAACAGTTTCTGAATTTGACCCTTGTCTCACTTGTGAGCTTTGATTAATCTAAGCTAGTAGTTTCGAAACTTCCAGACATGACCTATCAAACTGTCATAAAGTCAGTTTAGTAGATAGACAACAAACTTACACAAGTGTAATACAAAAAGAAACAGTGCATTGTGTGTAGTAAGGATAAATATTATTTCACAGAATGATTGTTAACTTGTCTGTGTATATGTGCATGTACTGAATCTTGATATAAAATATATTTCTTATTGTGGCTTGTAGTTTATTTCTCTTTAAAAAGGAGTCTAAAAAGCAATTTTCTCTCACTTCATTATATAACGAAATTCAAACAGGAAAGATCTATCAGTGTTATCTGGGGTTGGGGACTTCTGCTATTCTGAAGCAGTTACTAGAGCTACTGCATTATCAGTATAACTGTAACCACAAAGCACTGTTCTCGTAATTCAAGGTAAGAGGAATAAAGAAGTAATTTCTTTCAAGGCCCACTATGGTGTGGCACTGGAATGAAAACAGGTTTAATCCCAATACTCACTGGCACATAGTCTTTCTAGTATTTATCTTTGCTAGAAACATCATGCTATTCTCCTCCTAAACAGTGTATAAATAATTTTAGTCACTCTATGATATCCAACAGCTCATGGGGTTTAACAACACAGAAATATTTTTCTTTTCTCCACATCTATAATTACATCCCTACTCTCAACAGGACATCTCAGGGGAAGAAAAGGGAAGTAACATAAGCATCTTCAAACGTCCATCAAAACCAAACCAATCAAGACCATCTTCTATAATTTCCCACTATACTCCCTCTCACTCAACACACTCCAGCAGTATTA